CCATGTCACATATAGAAATTTTTTGATATTTGCAATCATAGTAAAACAAAGACTTATATTTTTGATATTTATTTTATATATTTAAATGCCATTTAACAAAGAAAAATCAACCAAAAAAATGAGTTCGCGTGTCACCTCTGACACACATGTCATAGGTTCACCATCACTGTCCTAGGGCCTGGCCTGACCCCTGGTGCTCTCTCTACCAGGGAAAGCTCGCTGCATGTTGAGATTCCCAGGACTCTGCCTGAGGATGTTTTTTGGCTGCAGAAGCATCTCTGCTTGCTGTCAGGGATGTCGTGCCGAGACCTAATGGCTGCGGGTGGGGTCAGTGCCCACAACCTGGGGAGAGATGGATGGGCACAGCCGGGAGCTCGGGGGCTGCTCCCAGCAGCGGGTGAGTGGAAGCCAGAGCTGACACCGCAGCTGTTCCTGACCCATCTGCACACCCACATGACACCAGGCAATCACATTGGGGCTCATGTCCCGTGCATGGGACCCGCGCCCATCACAGGCTGGCCTGGAACACCCTGGCCCTTCAGGCAGAGAGGGGAGGACTCCCGCATGATCTTCCCGTGTCTTCTGAAAGCATGGAAGGGCGACGACTGGACACAGCCAGCTCTCAGTGGGCATCAGCCCAACCAAAGGGCCAGCTTTGAACCCAAACCAGAAATTCCGAGTCAGCTGGCACACTAAGTCCGGGAGGGGTTTCAGCGAAAAGCTTGGCCCAGAGATCCGAGTCTGTTACTAGGGGACGCTGGACTCCTGCGAGCCCCTCTCCTCTTCCTGGAGACGCAGTAGGGCAGGATGAGGCTGCATGATGAGGCTGCATGATGGAGCTCCTGCTCAGGGCCACTAGCCCATCTCTGGCCTGGATGTTCGGTTTCTGCAGATCGGCCAGTAATTAAAAGCACCAATTAATCTCCGAGGCCAAGCCAGAGTTTCTGGGATGTGATGCCAACCTCCTTAGGCTGGCTCATAGATAGGCCCAGGCCAGGGCTGCAGACACAGGGGACATGCTGGCTTCGGGGCTCACAGGCCCACGTGGCCTGCCCTCAACACCTTTCTCTTAAAGACTAAAAACTATCAACATGGCCTCCCTGACTGTCCAAGACCAGGCCAGGCAGAGGATGAGCAGGGCAATGCAAGGAGTGACCGCTGGGCGCCCTCCTCCATGGTGGCATTGAGCCCTCAGCAGCCCCTTCCTTCCCACTCAGCCTGTCCGGTGCTCAGCAGGCGGGCTTCCTAGGCCGGCTGCCCCCTAGAAGACATGGGTGTCTCAGTGCCTGGAAGAGGTTTCCTAGCGCTCTCCAGGTCAAGATTGGCCAGGCCTCAGGTCTCATAGGCATAGGAGGTACCTACTAGCCCAGGGGTGGGCAAACTTTTTGACTCGAGGGCCACAGTGGGTTCTTAAACTGGACCGGGGTACCTACTAGCCCATACCCGCTTCTTTGCAGGTGTCCTGGGACCTGTGCCAAAGGATATGGGTGCATCAGCTTTCCTACACTCCAGGGCTGACGGTCCAGACTTTGCCAATCAGATAATTTCCCTGGAACCACAAAGCCCTCGAAATGAAGGTGAGGTCAAGTGAATTGGGGCAGGTGGGGGCAGGAAGGAAAAGCTGAGGGAAGGGGAGGCCAGAAGGCAGACTGAGAAGGGGGTTCAAAGAGTTGTCCCTCAAGCTTTAAGTCACGGTGACCTCACTATTCTCAGATGCCCTGTGCTTTCTGCTGCCTCAGGGCCTTTGCATAAGACCCCATCCCCACCCTGGGAGTGCTCTCTCCTCTCTCTCCAAGAGACTGGAAGCTTCAGGTCTTAGCTAACTGTCACTTCCTCAAAGCCGCCTTCCTAGCCCCTCCCCAACCCGCCCCATGTGGTGTGTCTCAGCCTCTTGGCCACCTCCTCAACTCCAGCATCTTCCAGACAGGGACCGTGCAGTGTGGTTCTGTACTGTGTTGCCCAGAAAAGCCCCTGGCACCAAGCAGGGCTTCGTCAATTCCGGTGACACACAAGAACCAGCTGCAACCAGCTTGCTCTCCAAAGGCCACGTCCTGTGTCCATTCAGGGCCTGCCTAGTGACTGAAGACCTGAAGCAAGGTCAGCACTAATGGGAGATGAGGCTGGACAGTACACCGCAAGCTCAGACGCCTTTGAGACGGCCTGGGTGCTGCCCCACGTGTCAGCAGCCCCTCCTGGACTGTGTGAGGACTGCACCCTCTTGGAAGTGCACACATTTGCTTTCCGTGGCCTGGGCCAAGCCAGGGCGGGGAGCTGCCCCTGCCCACCCATCCCACTGGAGCATGTCTTGCACATATACGACAGAGGCTGCCCACCAGCAGCCCCCCATCAGTCCTGGGGTGGTCAATGCAGCCTAGAACCACACATGGCACACCACTGTGCAAACTGGGTCTAGCACTGGACTCCCCTCTTTCCCTCCAAGTGTCCCAAAAGTCACCTGTCTATGTCTTAGGGACTCGGGCATGGCTGTGTGGTACCCCTTGTGGGTCGGTGGGGAGCAGGGAGAAGCTGCCTTGCCCGGTACACACAATGCAGGCTGTGCCTCATTTTCCTGGGAGAGCTCTTCTTGAAAACCCAGATCTGGCGCTAGAGGGCATACTGGGTGAAGGAAGGGGTGGGACCTGCTCCCCAGGGGCAGGACAAGTTGGGCTAGGTCTGTCATCCATGTCCCCTACCTTTAAACCCTGCTTTCACTTGTGTGGGTTCTGTGGTGGCCCCCCAGGCAGCCCCCACTCGGGCCTTCCCACAGTGTCCTCTTGACTGCAGAGTGGGGACCCACGTGGAAGGCAGGACCTCCAAAGGAGACCACTACAGACCAGCAGGGGACCCAGCAAAAGGAGGCAGGTGGCAGGAAGGGAGGCCAGAGGACAGGCCACTCTGGAGGCCAGCTCTCCCCCTGCCACCAGCTGGGGGCCTCTCAGCACGCCGCCCCCACACTCTGGGGCATGTTCCCCCAAGGTGGAAAGTGGGGCTCACTGACCTTTGGCAAGCGGGTTAGTCCAAGAACAAATACAAGAAGCCTGCCAGTGGCAGGAGACCTGGGCCGGAGCATTCCAGATGCAAGGGAATGCAAGGCTGCTTCGGGGCTGGCCCGTGAGGAAAGGGCGGTAGGACGGTCTTAACGGGCTCTAAGTTCTGAGTGCGGCGTCTCCGTTTCTAAAGAATTGACAGGCGCGGGCGGGGCGGACCTGCTGGGGGCACGGTCTCCAGCGCCAGGGTGAGGGCCAGAGGCGAGTCCGGTGCAGTCAGAGGCTTCGGCACCACCCGCCGACTTTCAGTTTGAATTTTTCTGGTGACAGACCAGCCCCTCCTGCTGCCAGAGAAACGGCGTCACTCCTTCGGTTCCAACGGCTACTCGCCGAGGCGTCCGTGACTCGGCGGGAGGTGCGCAGCTGGCGAACCCGGCGCCTTTGCTTAGGGCCACCGGGGGCTCGCGGGCCACACACACGGGGACACCCGACCGGGAGGCTGCATGGCGAGGCTCTACATGGCCGGTCTGTCACCTCCCGATGGGTTTGGCGAAAGAATCCGTGCCGCCCTCGGGGACCGTCGGCCCAAGGCCAACTCGCGGGAGCAGT